GTTGCGCTTCCTTTTGCCGCGGGAAATCCACGCCGCCGTCAACTCTCCATCCCGCAGCTGCAATAATTACATTTTCTTTGGTCTCTTGATCTGTTTTTTTTTTTTTTTTTTTTTTTTATCTTTTTATTTCTCCATCAATTGCCATTTTCCCATAATGGCTGCTCCAAGACTTCCCTTTCTCTATCCGAACTTGATGCGCGCAGTCCGTTCGTGCGAACCCACGACGTACCGCTCCATTCGAGCTCCGGTCAGCAGCAAGCGTGCTGCCTTCCACACCACCCGACGACGTGAAGAAGAGGCATATCATCGACGATACGGACCGGCAGCCGAAGTGAATCTGCCACCATCCCTCCGACCTAAGGAAGAAGAAGAAGCTAGCAAACCTGCCAGAGACTCACCCGCGGGGAAGGAGAAGAAGGACAGCCCCAGGGGTCAGCAGAAGCAGCCTATCGGCCAACCCGAGCAATTGTATGACGAGGAGTCCAAGAATAATGCATCTTCTCAAATTAACACAACTGATCAATCCTCGCCGGCTGAGAAGGAAGTGACTGCAGAGTCGAAAGAGAGTGACGCACAAGCTGAGGAGGCGGAATCGCAAGATGAAGCCAGGATAACGGCCGAAGAAGCCAATGATGTGTTTTCCTCGTCGGCTGAGCACCCCGAGGAGGAACAGCATGTCCATCGCCACATTCAGGATAATCCTCTGGACGGTGTGTTTCATATGCCTTCTCCTTCGAATTATCTCACCCCGACGCCGTCGGGACCGTCCGGTGACAAACCGCCACACCTTTCCCCAGCTCCTTATGTCCACCACTTCGATACCTATTCTTTGGTCCGCGATCTCTCCAAAGGAGGTTATGGTGAGGAAAACTCCATCACGATAATGAAATCTGTCCGGCAGATTCTACAAAACAACATCAACCTCGCAAAGGATAGCTTAACATCTAAATCCGACGTCGAGAACGAGACATATTTATTTAACGCTGCTTGCTCAGAATTGCAGTCATCCCTTCAAACTGCCCGGAACTCGGAAGTACAGAGACAACGTGCTTCCCGGACGCAACTACAACATGAGATCGACATTCTCTCTCAGAGATTCAACCAGGAACTTTCAGGGCTGAAGGACGACATCAAAGGAATGTTTAACGACCACAAAATGACTTCTAGAGAACATCAGCGAAGTATCGATACATCTGTCCAGGAGCTGAACTACAAAATTACGGTTTCGTTGAACAGCGATGGCAAGAGTGAGATTGAGGGCCTTCGGTGGATTCTGACCAGAAGGGCCGCTATGGCTGTCGCAACGAGTGCCAGTGGGTTACCCTCCTACCCAAATCACACAGAATCTAGCACTAACTTTGACAGTTATGATCATCATTTTCCTCAAGTACTACTCCGTCCGCAAAGCCGGTACCGCTGAAAAGAAGGAAAAGGAGGCGGCAGTCAAGGAAGTCAAAGAGACTCGGGTCATTCAAGACACGCCTGAAGTCTTGCCGTCATCACTGGCACCAGGGGCCGACGTTGGTGAGTCTCTGGGTTAAATGTATTATATTCATGTTCTTTCGAGAAGGGAAATATTTATACCTCTCTTCTCTCCGTTGCCTTTATCTCTTGTGCTATTTCATGTATTGTCTATAATCATTACTACGGAGCACAAGACGATGTTCGATACCCTCATTCTCATCGTCATCATACCTCGATTGATGTACATAGACTTGAGTGTTCTATTGCATTTTATATGACACATAGAAGTCATTCCTGATCTTGAATAATTTATGCTTCGTGAGCTTGATATGGAACTGCCCAATCATCCTATATAAGAAATCATCCGTATCGACTCGCCAGTTGTGATTCAGTTTCCGCTGTGGTTCGAAGCAGTTGGTTTCCATGATCTGACGTACAATGATATCTTAGTTGGATTTTTACTATTGAACATACGTAGCTATAAGTTTTCTTTTTCTTTTTCGGTCCCATTTTACACCACTTTTGCTCTCTGGGTGTATCCGGAGCAGGGCGATGCATGTCCGGAATGATCAGGGACTGAAGTCATCTGATTAGGAGGACATATTATACGACACGGATCCGCCAAGCTGTATCCATTATTTGGTAGAATGACGAGTTACCATCGACGAGGCTTAGGCATAGGATAAAGAGACCTGTATTGACCCACTGGCAGTTGCCCTTGGAAGGGAAGCCCCAGGATGTTCTTAGACTCAACGACACAATATTCAGTGGCGCATCATCTACATCATAAATGGCAGACGCCACTGCAGTAATAGCAAAACAAGACATCCCGCAGAAGTTCATGCTAGATTATGCTGGCAAGGCAAAGCAGCGTGAGCCTTCAGTCTTCCCAATCCCTCATCTTAAACATGTATTTCTTAAAAGAAACAGTATATCATAAATCAAAATCCATTGTTCACGCCAAGTTCTCGTCGAAATCAAATGAAGATCTGCCCGGAAGAGTGCCCTGGGGCTAACATACTATTCTCGGGTTGCCAGCAGGTATCTCGTCCAACATATGAATAACGGAGCGGACAATGTCACAAGATTCTGGATTTTTGTGTAACTAGGCCAATTATCAGACAGTGATCGGCCCTTTCGAATTCCCAAAATCAGTGGTTCGAGGATGATGAGATATCGTGCTCTATCACAACTTCTGGGATCTCACGGAGAGCCAGATCATGATGTTCATGAGCCGAAATCTTCAATAGGCCGAAACAGATGGGTAATTCCGGTCAACTCGTCAAGAAAATCCATAATCGTGGCAGCAATTGGAGTATTTCTCGTATGTCATCATCCCTTTCACATTCTTCCGAGACGTCAGTTACTAGTATTAGGGCCTGGACTGGAAGTCGAGTGTTTTCAAGCACAGTATTGGCTGAAGGAGTAATTTTTCGAACTGCTCTTTCAGCGATATTTTCTTGCTGTATGATATTTCAGAATTTCAGAATCCTCTCCACATAGCTTTATATAATTTGCTAGATATAATCCAGCTTAGTCTAAGCTTAAAAAGGAGTAGCACACGGTATATCTTGTAGAATTTAATGTTGTGACGGTTAGCGGGGCGCCAAAAACGGCTCTCATTGAACCGCGCTTCTGTCGAGCCCTACCGTCTGCCATCTATGTGAATACAATTGCCCTTTGCCTACTGTATCAGGCATAGCGCTGCATCACACTGCTTTTGGGCCACTCGTATGCCACCTCAATGCATCCGTTGCATCTATAAAAGCCCGACATCTCTCTCTCAAAGGACCATGCACTTTCTCTTCCCTTTTCCCCCCTCTGCCTGCCTCGCTCGGTGCACTGCCCTCTTACCAAGATGCCACATTATCCGACGATTTGCCCTTTTTCAGTATGGCGCCATCCACTCTCCTCGGGGTGGCCGACGGGTCATCCAGACAATCGATGCAAGGCATTAGACACCGCATCTTGTGCATGTCCTTGAGATCATTAAATACAATTGAAGAAGCCAATTAAAAAACAGCTTCATCACTATCCCAGATTAGAGCCTCATATAACTATATCATCCCTGCCAGATAATCTGGCATTTGCTGTATGTCAAATCAAGCTGTTTATGGATAGCAGGGTCACCGATGCACCTTGCCCAATCCACAGCCGTTTTCCCACTTAGATCCTTGGCCAATGGATCTGCTCCAAACTTCTTCAGCAAAAGCCGCACCCATTTTGAATTCCTCATTTAAACTACAAAGATGCAACACTAACCTAGAAATAAATTGTCCTAACTCTTCAACTAGTTAATATCACAACCTGGCTTCTCTCGTATCGTACCTAGAGTTCTAGTTAGTTATATTTCGAGACAGGACACTTACCCTAAGTGTCTTCCAAGTGATCGTATGTTCAATTCCCCTCCGGGTCCGGTTCAGTAAGTCGTATGCGTCGATGGGTATATCGCCCCCTCCAGGCTCCGTAATATAATCAACAAGTAAAAGTGGTAAAGGTAACGAATAGAGGAACAAGGCCAACCGAGTACGTATACTGGGTTTTTGGTTAAGTGCGGACGAGTCAGAAACTAGAAGGTAACCAATGGTGACTGACTTTATTGATTGCGAAGAACAGAACTAAGTACATGAATGAGTGCCCTTATATATCCTTCGCCTCTCCTACCATCCTGTATACCTTCTGTGGCCGACGGTATGGTAGTGTATACCGTCTCGCATACCATTCATGGTAGATAAATGGTGTCGGAATCACAGCTTACTCAAGGTCGAAAGTACGTGTCGAGCGTATAAGGTTGAGGTCTCTGATTCTTGCAAAAGGGCGCTATCTAGGATCCTATATAAGACCGTTGACTACCTTATAGAGTATACTAAGCGATTGTGCGGTTTCAAAAGCAGTAATGGCAGAGTAAATACGCTGCTTGCGCCATATGATATCAGCGAGGCATCAATTAGGCATCAGTTGGTATTGTTCGGTAAGGAACCTCTATATTCCGACACACCCCCCCAGACTGGCAACCTAGCCAGTCTGTTTTATACGAATTCAGTAAGCCTGAGAAATCGAATGGAAGTTATGGAAACGTTGGCCGGTCATGATCTTTGTCATGCCTAGAGTGTCACTGGCAGCCCCGTGACCCCGCCCCGAACCCGCCCCGCTGATTTTTGGGGGCCCCGTTGGGGCGGGCTGGTTTGGGGCACCCTGCCCCAAAGCCCCCCACCCCGTTTACAAGGCCTTTACGGGAAGGCATGGCTTTTTAGCAATCGCCCCATGCTTATATATGTTTATATGTTGAAATTGGTCAATCTATATGGCACTTGCTGATTGCTCTATATATCGTCTATATATATCAATCAATATAAATTAATATCTATCGATATATATGGCTTTTGGCCGGTCCCTCCATGTCAGGTTGATGTCGTCGATACCTTAATTGGTATGGATATAGAGAAAACACCGAGAATTTGGGGCGGGCTGGGGCCCCCGCCCCATGAGCTGCCCCGAACTAACTATGATTGGCGTAGTGCGATATCCGATTGACAGATTGGGTATAACACGGAGAGTCTCGGGATTTTGGGGCGGGCAGCATCATGGCTCACCCCGCCCCAAAGCCCGCTTGGGCGGGGCATTGCCTGCCAAAACCCACCCCACCCCGGCCCGAGTGACACTCTACCCACAAGGACGACTTCTAGGGGAGCCCAAAGCAACTAGGGCACTGCTACAATTCTTAGCCAGCACCAGCGCAGCCCTACCTCAGGGACATCTACAACGAGCAGTGGAAAGAGCTCGAAAAGACGGGGAATGGGGATTGGAAGCATTGGATGAGGCAGTCAGAACAGGAGAGGGGTAGCAGGGTAGCCTAAGCTGAATCCCAGCTTGGTCACACCCACCCTGCTCCGAAACACGAAGAGAGCACTCTGCTCGAAAGCCCTGCGCATACAGGCGGCTTGGGGCGAGGAAAAGGGTCAGAAAGATTATAGAAGGGGGCTAGTGCCTCAGGAACCTATAGGGATAAGAGACTGTAGAACAGCTGCTGGCCTCGAGTTCACGGATCATGGTCTGTCATAGCTCTAGGGCTCGGTATGGACAGTAAACTTGATTAAATAATAATAATAATAATAATGCCCCATGCCAACGACCGACCATCTGACCTGGCCCGTGCACTCTCTTCCGCTCCAAGTGACCAGTTCAACCCACCATCTGCTTTTCCCTCTTCTTATGCTCAGCTTGCCCAAGAGGTTGAAGCTTCAAATGTCCATTCTGGCGGGTGGTCCGCAATCATGGCGCAAGCAGGTCCTATCACGGACGTCACTTCTCGGCTCTTCGTCGAACTACAGTCGAAGAATGAGGAGGCACGAGTGAGAGCTGCAAACGGTCTCTATGATAACGTCCTTGCCACCTCAAGAGGTGCTTACTCTTTTGATCTTCTCTGTTTTTGATTGCTGTATCCCCTGCTCACACTTGGATTTTCCTTGTTTTGCAGACTGGTCCCCCGAGAAGTTCCTCGAGTTCTACAATGCTGTCAGTCAACGTATCGCGCAGCTCGTCGTCACGGGCAGCGACACCAACGAAAGAATCGGCGGTTTGCTCGCACTCGATCGTCTAATCGATTTCGATGGCGTCGATGCCGCTAAAAAAACGATTCGATTCGCCAGCTATCTGCACAGCGCGCTTAGAAGCAACGATACCCTGGTGCTGGCGTATGCGGCCAGGGCGTTGGGCCGTTTAGCAAAGCCAGGCGGAGCTCTCACCGCGGAGTTGGTTGAGAGTGAAATCCAGTCGGCTCTGGAGTGGCTTCAGTCTGAACGACAGGAAAGCAGACGTTTCGCTGCAATACTCGTGATGCAGGAACTGGCGAAAGGCTCGCCGACTCTGCTCTATGGCTTTGTTCCGCAGATTTTCGAGCTCATCTGGGTCGCCCTGCGGGACCCCAAGGTGCTTATCCGGGAGACAGCGGCGGAAGCAGTCAGCGAGTGCTTCGAGATTATCGCGGCGCGAGACATACAGGTCCGACAGTTGTGGTTTGCACGAATCTACGAAGAGGCGTTGCTGGGGCTGAAGTCGAACCATGTGGACTGGATTCATGGGTCGCTTTTGGCCCTCAAAGAGCTTCTGCTAAAGGGTGCCATGTTCATGAATGAACACTACCGAAATGCGTGCGAAATCGTTCTCCGTCTTAAGGATCATCGTAATCCTATAATCCGCGCCCAAGTCGTCTTGATGATTCCCATACTCGCATCCTACGCCCCCGTTGACTTTACCGAGATTTACCTCCATCGATTCATGATTTACCTACAAGCACAGCTCAAACGGGATAAGGAACGGAATTCAGCGTTCATTGCTATTGGAAAAATTGCCAATGCGGTGGGGGTGACAATCGCGCAGTACCTCAATGGAATCATCATATACATTCGAGAGGGACTGGCCATGAAAGCGTAGGCTCAGATCCTCCACCCAAAGGATTGTCTCGAGTCCGCTAACAATCACAGACGTAACCGATGTGCGGTCAATGAAGCACCGATGTTTGAATGTATCAGCATGCTGTCACTCACTGTCGGACAAGCGCTTAGCAAATACATGGAAGCGTTGCTTGACCCGATCTTTGCATGTGGGTTGAGCGAGTCACTGACACAAGCCCTTGTGGACATGGCACATTATATCCCACCCATTAAGCCCACAATCCAAGAGAAGCTGCTGGACATGCTGAGTATCATCCTCTACGGAACACCGTTTAGGCCTCTTGGATTCCCGGAAAATAGACTTTCACCTATGCCCTCATTTGCAAAGGACTTTGCTCCCCAAGAGCTGCACTCCGACTCAGACATTGCTCTGGCTCTCCATACCTTGGGAAGCTTTGATTTCTCTGGCTACGTCCTGAATGAATTTGTGCGGGATGTCGCCATTAACTACGTGGAGAATGACAACCCGGAAATCCGGAAAGCCTCTGCGCTCACTTGCTGCCAACTATTTGTCCACGACCCCATCATCAACCAAACCAGCAGTCATTCAATCCAGGTTGTTAGTGAGGTGATTGTTAAGCTCCTAAATGTTGGCATTGGGGATCCTGACCCAGAAATCCGGTGTACCGTGTTATGGTCGTTGGACCGGAAATTTGACCGTCATCTGGCGAGGCCTGAGAACATCCGGTGTTTATTCTTGGCCGTCAACGATGAGACATTCTCTGTTAGAGAAGCTGCGATTTGTATCATCGGACGGCTTTCCAGCGTCAATCCGGCTTATGTTTTCCCGCCATTGCGGAAGCTGCTTGTCAACCTCTTAACCGGCCTTGGGTTTGCCAGTACAGCTCGCCAAAAGGAAGAGAGTGCCAAGCTAGTCAGCCTGTTTGTCTCGAATGCAACAAAACTGATTAGGTCGTATGTCGACCCTATGGTGACTACTCTGCTTCCCAAGGCGACGGATGCCAACCCGGGAGTTGCCTCGACAATGTTGAAAGCAGTAGGTGAACTTGCGAACGTCAGGGGAGGTGGAATAAATCATTACCTGTCACAGCTGATGCCTATTATCTTGGATTCACTCCAAGATCTATCTTCGCATGCAAAGCGGGAATCGGCATTGCGAACGCTTGGTCAATTAGCCAGTAACTCTGGCTACGTGATAGATCCATATATCGAGTATCCTCATCTCCTCGCTGTACTCATCAATATCATCAAGACGGAACAGACTGGGTCTCTCCGTAAGGAGACCATAAAACTCCTGGGAATCCTTGGTGCCCTTGATCCATACAAGTATCAGCAAATAAGCGAAGATGCGCCAGACATCCATCACATCAACGAGGTGCAGCAGGTTTCCGATGTTGCCCTGATTATGCAAGGACTCACGCCGTCTAATGAAGGGTACTATCCCACGGTTGTCATCAACACCCTCATGCAGAACATCCTGCGGGAGAATTCTCTGGCTCAGTATCATTCTGCGGTCATTGATGCAATTGTTACCATCTTCAAGACCCTGGGACTGAAATGTGTTCCCTTCCTGGGGCAGATTATCCCTGGCTTCATAGCAGTCATCAGAGGATCCCCCCATAGCCGTCTCGAATCATATTTCAACCAAATGGCCATTCTGGTTAACATTGTACGGCAACATATCCGTGCCTTCCTACCGGGAATCATTGATATTATTCGTGATTTCTGGGAAACATCCTACCCAGTACAGGCTACGATTCTGTCTCTCATGGAGGCCATTGCATTGTCCTTGGAAGGCGAGTTCAAAAAATATCTCGCTAGCCTTGTCCCACCCATGTTCAAAACCCTCGATAATGATAGCACGCCGCGTCGTCAGCCGTCAGAGAGAATTCTCCATTCCTTCTTGATCTTTGGATCGAGCGGGGAAGAGTATATGCATTTGATTGTTCCGTCCATTGTCCGCCTGTTTGACGGGACTCAGAATCCACCAAGTATCCGAAAGTCTGCTATTGAAAGCCTTACAAAACTCTCACGTCAGGTCAATGTTTCTGACTTCGCCTCTCTGATGGTTCATTCGTTGTCCCGAGTTGTTGGTGGCAGTGAACGTTCCTTGCGCCAACCTGCAATGGACTGTATTTGCGCTCTCATCTTCCAGCTCGGACATGACTTTACTCATTATATCCATCTTCTGAATAGGGTTTTGAAGACTAACCAGATCACCCACGTCAACTACCAAATCCTGGTGACAAAATTGCAAAAGGGAGACCCACTCCCGCAAGATCTGAACCCTGACGAGAACTACGCCACCCTAGGAGATGACACAAGTTTCGCTGAAATCGGCCAAAAGAAAATGGTGGTTAACCAGCAGCATCTCAAGAATGCCTGGGATACATCTCAGAAGTCAACACGCGAGGACTGGCAGGAGTGGATCCGTCGTTTCAGTGTTGAACTTCTAAAGGAGTCGCCTTCTCCTGCACTCCGCGCGTGCGCCAGTTTGGCCGGTATATACCAGCCACTCGCAAGGGATCTGTTCAATGCTGCCTTCGCGTCGTGTTGGACCGAGTTGTATGACCAATACCAAGAAGAGTTGGTCCGGTCGATTGAGAAGGCGCTCACCTCTCTGAACATTCCACCCGAGATCCTTCAAATTCTTCTCAATCTCGCCGAGTTCATGGAACATGATGACAAGGCACTGCCGATTGATATTCGTACGTTAGGCAAGTATGCTGCGAAATGCCATGCATTCGCGAAGGCTCTCCATTACAAGGAACTTGAATTCGAACAAGATCAGAATTCAGGAGCAGTGGAGGCACTAATCACCATCAACAACCAATTGCAGCAGCCTGAC